TTGAAACATAGTTATAATTTTTTAAAAAAATCACCATTCTCTGCAGCTTAGAATGCAATTTGCAAACCAAAAAAAGTATTTTGGGGGAAAGTCTGTTGTTTGTAAAGATGATGCACATGTGGGATATATTCCTTTTTTTCTTACTGCAGTATATGCAAGAAAATTTACTGTCTTTCTTCTTCACATTTTCGAAGACACAGAAGGGAAACAAGAAGGTGATAAATGCAAACTCGATCCTATCCTGGCATCTTTCTCACCAGTAGAGCCATAACTGAGAACTCTTAGAGTTGAAGCCCACACAGCCAGAGGTGCCCAAGTTCCAGAACCTAAAGAACATACTGAGCATATATAGAAACACAAAAAAATGTATTGCCATTAAACACAATCTGAATATAAACACTATGGAACATTTCTTTGATACAGCAAGGTTTTAAATGGATTGGCTTTTCGGTTGAAAAACTTACTCTTTCACGTTATTATTTTGTACTCTTAGGTTATTTTATTAGAAAGATTCCTTGCCTGTAAGCATCACCACACATTGCTTGCTTAGCCCTGCTCTGACAGAATTCCCAAGTATAGAAGTAAACTGAGGATTTTATTGCGTTAGTGCCACTTCTATAAAATTGCCTTGGATAGTAAAGCAACTGTAAGTTTGTTAAGAAGAGGTGGTTTCCATTTGGCCTCACTTCAGACAAGTTGTGTTCGATGATGGCACTGAACCCAGCTTCAGAGTAATTAAAGTAGTGATTTCCATGTTTGCTTGTTTCCAAGGTAGCAGCCATAAAGCAAGTAAAGCTCTGGGAAAACAATGACCAACTAGTACTTTGCAGTAAACAGGAGTCAAAACTTCATTCCCGTATGTTAAATAGCACTTGTACAATATAATTTTAAGCCAGCTTGCATTTTTGCCTCTCTTCATTTTAATTTTTCACACATCCAAGAATATACTCCAAATCAAAGATTTATCATCTGAATAGAAATATCTTTTATTTTCCAAAGAGAGAGGGAGAGACAGACAGACAGACAGACCAGGAACACTCATGCTTCTGTGCCAGTTTCCTCTTTCCCGAGGTAAATTATGTCAGCTTAGCATGCAAATGTGATCCGTGTCTGTGACCTGCTGACATATGTTACGGAGTTCACCAGTGTTACAGATAGGGCAACACAGACCCCAGCCTAGAACAAAAGCTGAGCCAGGAAGCATTTAATAAAGGACAAACTGGATTGTTCTTGGCAGCTCTATTGGTGAAATTGATGTAATATATGCTGGGGATATATAAAATGTCTATGTGTATGCAGATAGATACACACACAATATACACATATTCATATATTTGTACACACATACTATATACACAAACACACACACAGCCTTTAAATCATTATTTACACACCCACACATATAATGGGAATAACTTTATTTGTGGAAGAGACCTGACTAATTTTAAAGACACCTCTGGCATGGTAAAACATCCATTGAAATGGGTCTACTACTGGATTTATTAAACAGTGACCTTTAAAGCTTGTTGGTGTTTAGGATCTGGTTTATGAGGTTTCCAAACCATCTACAATACTGCTCAGGACCACCCATTTTTTTCTGAGATGGATGATTCAAGATTATTGTTGAAAATCAACGATCTCCCTGAGATTATGCCAGTAGGCTGATGTCATGCTTATGATCTTACCCTTAATTTGTCAAACCCTCCATATATCTAAGATGTCTTCACTGAATTACATAGCATTCAATGAAATAAGACAGTGTGAGAGACTCTATGGATTTTTCTCTTGGATTTAACAGGTAATTGGGTGAGGCATTTAAACAATATAGACCCTACACTTAACTCCATGGCATTTACTACTGAAAGAACAAGGAGTCTGTTTGGGGCGACAGGAACGTTCAGGATTCTGAGAACATATTGTGGCTTCTCTTGTAAAATGGCTGCCATGGGGACATAACTCTGTACCAAGTACAGATTTAGAATGCTACCCAATACCACTTCTAGCCCTCTTTTCTGCAGGACCCTTTGCAAATGCGTCAGCTTACTTTCATCCTTTTTCTGGGCAGTTGATAAATAAAGGCAAGTCTCTTTAAGTTGCCCTGGTGACTTTACAGACATATCCATGTAGGCATCTTGGTAATAATAAAGAAGCAGTTTACCACTTCCTTAGTGCACTGGGTATTTTTGATTTTGCAGTCTAGTTTACAACTCTGATATCTTCTGGAGGTTTTCCATCCAAATATTAAGTAGGTGTGACCATGCTTACTTTTCTTGCATAGTGGAGGTCAGAATAGTTACAAACCTACCAGTGGGCTATAGCTATCCAAAATAAAATATTGTTATGCACTAGTTCCCTTTCATTATTTGAATTATATTTTATTTGGGATCAGGAGAAGATAGCTCTTAAAACAGCAAAAATAGCTTCAGTCCTAGTTAGCTCTCACTCATTCTTTTACAGTTATTTGAGAAAAAATATTTTCCAAAGTATTGTGATATTGTTAAAACTTACCATAATTGATAAATTTAATAACAAATATGTATTTGAATGTATGATACATACAAACCCTGTGGTTTCTACCTTGATGGGACTCAAGTTGGTAGAGGATTGGTGGGATGTAACATATGAAAGACTGGGAAACACTGCTCCATACAGCAAAGACGAATCTAATTTTTGGATACTTAGAGAAAAGCCAAAATGGAATGACCTGACCAAAAATAAGGACATTCAAAGGAATATAGAAATTCTGCCAAGACAGATAAAAATACTCCTCCCGAAAGCAGATTTTAAAATGATTAAATCTACTGTCTCAAGATGAAATGATGGCAAACAACTTGGGTAGTTTTAAATTCATGGAGGATTAGACTATCCATGCCTTGTAGCTGTGACGGCTAAGTGTTGGAAAGAGTGGCCAGGTTCACAGGTAACATTAAATCATAATGTAGCTGGTTTCATCTGGGCTGAATGAGGGGCAAACCTACCCATTGCTGCTTAGCCTTACATTTAAACAAGTTATTCATCAAACTCTGGTTTTAAAAAATAATGTCTTAGCATCATGTCTGAACCTCAGCCAGTCACTAAGCACCATCTTATGGTGGGGAAGATGCTACTGCATATGTGTCCAGCTGTTGGGCTACAAATAAGCATCTCGTTTTCTACATGGGAACAGACAACATAATTAACACTAGGTATCTATGAATCACTAAAAGTTTTGGAACTACAGCTCCCAGCATCATCCATTGATATGACTACTAAGATGTAAAACTCAACAGCATCTAGAGATGTTCTTAACCTCTGACACAAGCATTTGGTCCCATATGGGTTTTCCATACATTATTTTTTAAAACTCTCTTTTAGGAAGAACTGGAAGAAAAAATTAAAGGTTGCAGTTATCCTAGGACTGAATCCTTCTATGTTCAGCTTGACAACATGACATTATTTCAAGGGTGATAAAGAACTGTATTCCCCATATTTTCTTCAGTTATTTTTCCTCATATAAATGTGTATGTTTGTCCACAATCAGAAACAGTTGATAAAAATGGAATGTCTGACAAGTCATAATAATAATAGTAATGATAAAAAGCTTTCTCTGCAAATTACTAACATTTAGTGTGCTCTATAACGAAAATTACCTGTAATTTTTAAAAAGCACATTCTCAGTCAATCCATAGTTTTCACAGGTATAAGATAAAGTTTGTTCAAATCAAAAGCTTATGCAGCAAACTGATATAGCAAAGTCCATTGTTCAGATGTGTATTTCCAGACATCTAATCATATAGACGATCTAATGATTATGATTTCACATGCCTGAGACTTATATATTCAACTTTTCATATCCTGGTGTCCTCCAAATGTGTCACAATAACTTTTCTGCTGAAGGGACCAAGGACTGGGGCTTTTCATGGGACCTTCTATTGAGGACCACCTACAATTTCAACCAATGGGTAAGCAGTAGCAATAACAATAGCCAGTAAAGAATCTTGCAGGACAGATGATCTGTTCTCCCCACCCCGCCTACACAAATATAGTAAAACTTCTATCTGTCATCAGAGGCGAAAGAGAAGCTTCATTCAGTTTTAATATTGTCCAAGATCTTGGCTCTGTGAGCTTGGGAGTCACCAAGAACCTATACTCCAGATTACAATCTGAAATATTCAAAATTAAAGTCATTGATTGAAAGGATGAGGATATTATATTGAGAGGATGACAAGTTTAACTATTTCAGTGTTTTTACCTAACGTCTTGAACTACAATAGGCATACAAGAGATCAACTCACCTAAAGTCACCAAAGCCAGAATCAAATGCAGAAATTATAGAACTTTGACATAAATTAATCTATTTATCACAGAAACATAGATTGATTTATGTCGTCATTTCTTTGCACCCAAAGAACCTATGTTTCTGATGTCTTCCTATGTGGACAGGCAGGAGAAAGGAAGATGGGCTTCCTTTCATGTTGGGGGTTTACTTGAGCAATTTTGTTCATGTAGCATTTTGGATAATATGCCCAGGCATGCAGTTTTATCCTCATTACTTAGTTTCAACTTTGTATTCCTAACTCAAATGATTGTATATTCCTAAGGGTCCTCCCCCAACCATTTACATTTTTGCATTCAACTGGGGGGAGTGGCGTAATTCCATGTAACTTTTATTTACAGAAGTGAACGCAATTTACTTTTGAGTAAATCTAATTATGATTGCATTGTGCAAGTCTCATAAACATGCATATAATCTCGCCCTCAACCAAATCAACAGCCAGTCAGCCAACCAACCAAATAGATATTCGCTAAAATAAAGAAAATCATAAATTCCCTTCCCAAAGCACCATCCTGCTCGCTTCGGTGAAGAATTAGGAGAAGTTGAAATGGTGGGGTGTCTAATTTGGGATCTCCTCAACTATGTCAACGGACAAGACAAGATTCCGAGGGATCAGGGCGTTGCCCAGCGTGGACAGGTAACTTCTGACCAACTCCCCCAGTTCCCTGACTTGCTGTTTTCTTACCTTCTTGATTTTGCTCTCCAAATCCATGTCGGGATCCTCAGCACAGGCAACACGAGATTCCGGGACCAACGATAGCAGAGACGCCTTTTTCCTTCCTCCTCCACCCCTACTGACAGTAGGATGTGGTTAGAAAGGAAATGTGTTTCGAGAGATTGCTCCACACCGCTCGTTCCTGGTCTCCTTTTGCATCTCTCCAGCTGCTGCGGAGTAGAGTCAAACTTCCGTCTTCTGCGGCAGTGGGGAAAGGAACAAAGGAAGCCCTGCAGCCAATCAGAGCGCAGCAGCTTGCAAGTCTGACAGCCAATGGCGGGCCCTCCGAATACCTTTGCTCGGCCAGCCTGCTCACCCAAAGCAGCGGGCTGGCTTTTGCCCGGAGGCAATTCGCGTTTGATTGCCGGGCGTCGAGCAAGCGCAAGTCAACGGCTCGGCGGCGGTGTGAGCCGGCCCAAGGCGGCGGCCAGGCTTAAAACGGGATCTTTTGGCAGAGCTTCTGACTCAGTCAGTGAATGGGGTGTCAGAGAAGGTCATGGCAAAGGTATTTGCTGACGCAGCCGCCCAGCTCAGCCAATTGCTCCTGGCGCATTCTCCTGTCTTTCCTTTCTCTTCTGGGACGAAGGAAAGAAAAGAACAATTTATTATTGGATTGTATTGCGGGGCTGGCCGCTCTTAACTAGATAATCCTTTCTTTTCAAAAACTGCTCCCCCGCCTTCGGATAATTAGAGTCTTTCTCACCCCTCTTGATATTTGGACTCAGCTAGGTGGCATCGCCTTGCCAGATCTAGAAAAGCTAAGCACGGTGAGATCTGGTTAGCACTTGTAGGAGAGACACCTGGAAATCCAAGGCTGTAGGAAATTAAAAAAAAAATAAATCAGAAGGCAGTGGGAAAAAATGTATGAACATGCATATGGAATCAACAGGAGTTGAGTTCTGCTGAAGGAGATATTTGCCTTTCCCATTTTATCTCACATGACTTCATTAATTTGCTGCTTGCATCTGGCTGATTTTATGATCAAAAGTAAAACCAAGGTGTCCTTGGAAAACTTAGGGCTGCCTTATCTGGGCTGCAAAAACCTGGACAATCACTAGATGGCAGCAGAAAGATACAGAAAAGCAGTATGGTCTAGGTTTGGGTGTGACAGCTGATTCATTTGCTCAGGAAGTAGACCCGGTGGCAATGCAGTTTCTAGGATGGAGTAACAAAATAGTCGGTCTGGTTGAAAGTGAAAGTTCATATGTGTTGAGCTGAGTGTTAGTAAGATACGTGGGAGACAAGAAGTTTCTTGGCAGGATGTGGATTGAATAAGAAACAGTGAAAGGAGGGTTAGCTGGTGGGAGTGGTATTACAGAACTGGGGCAAGAAAAAGCAGATAGAGTCTCTGAAAAACTGGGCCTTGAACCCAGGGGTGGGGAGCCAGAGAGTGATACAGAAAAGGAGTTCAGAGTGAAGTAGGACAAAGTGCAAAACTCTGAGCTTTCCTTTCAGCTCCTAAGGAGGTGTTTATTCTTCAGCAGCTTTTGCAAAGCCGATAGAATGACTCACACATCATTAATCCAAGTTTGTTTTAAGCATGATTTAATCAATCAATCACAGTGGCTGGCTCACATCCAACGCTAAGCCTTCGCTTACAAAACACAGGGGCTGAATTCATATACTGGACCACATTAAATCAAAATCAAATAAAGCCCATGATGGTTTGGCATGATCTGTGAAGCCTGAATGTTTAAAAGACCTAACTGTATGCGTAAAGGCTGACTACATGCTCTGCTCTTTTCAATTAGTCATTGCCCAGATGAGGATAAATGACTCCTCCAAACCTGGAGAATAATTAAGAAGCACAGTGGATATATTACACTTAAGAGAAGATGGACATGGAGCAAAATCAGATACAGGAAATTACTTTGTGCAATGGCAGGGGACATTTGGAAGAGGTTTGGTGGGGCTTGGAACCCGAGGAGGGGCTAGGATCTCACAGTTAGGTTAAGGACAGGGCTAAACATTTTTTAAAAACTTTATGTTGACTGTTAAGGATTGCAGGAGACATGGTGATAAGGATTCATCATGGAGGATGAATCAAAAGGGGGAACTTTGCCCCCTTCTTTTGGTGAGGTTTGGTGGCTGTCATGATAAATATGTTAAGCCTATTTGAGCTACAGCACCCTTATTGTATTGTATTTTTCAAAATAAAAAATTACATAACCATTAGTGGTCTCATCTTGGAGGAATCTGGAATTGTATGTGGACAAAAGGTTGTTCACCACTGGGCATAAGCAACCTCCAGTTTATTTTGGACTACAGCTACGATAGTAGCTTGCTAGTGAATAGAATATACATATATTAAAATCTTATATTACTGGTACCCAGCAGATCTAGACCCAGCAGCTACTGCGGCTCAGCTGTTATGATAATGTTGTCATTCAGCAACCTTGAGAGGATAGAAAGCCTTAAAAACTGGCTGAATTTTGTATCTAAATTTCAATCTGTGAGCTAATTTATATATTTTTAGAGATTTATGTAGAATAAAACCAGCTGAATTGTTAAAAATCTTTGTCATAACTTTTTGCAATCCTGTTCTTTCCTTCCTTGTTTTACTAGGCACAGAAATTTGCAATTTTCCCCCTTTGTTTAAGTTGTGAGTGAAGAGATTTTCTTTTGAACCTCTAGTCAGCCAACTGGGGCCATCTCTGCTACATTTTTACATCTGTTTTTATATCTGCTCTTATTTCCTGACACACAATATTCTATGATTAAGTTTTTAGATTTTATTGTGCCTTTTTTTTGGTGGGGGGAGGATGAATGTGGCCTCAAATTATTTAAAGTTGTTTGTGTGCGCTTTAATATAGAATATAATACATTCTTGAAGGCAAAAGGAGAAGAGGACGGCAGAGGATGAGATGGTTAGATAGCATCACTGA